TACTATTTTTTGTGTTTGTGATATTTTTGAAAAATATAAATTTTGCAACAAATATTTGTTTTTTTACTGCTGAAGAAATTAAACTCAATTTCAGGATAAGTGAGTTCCATCGAAACTACAATAAGTGAAACTATGACTGGCTCAACATCGGTCATGCTCTTATATCAAAAGCATTTATAAAACTTTTATGAACTTTTGGATCCTTTAGTTAATTTCTAATCCTCCTCGCTCTATTTTAGATGTAATAGCTAATTACCCTTATGGATTGGTTCATGTATCTTTAATTTGTACACATAATGTTGAACCAAACATTTTGATCGTCACTAAGTCAAGTATCTATCAATACTTTTTTTTATAGAACTTTTTTCCTTTTATGTTTATTGTATATATTTTCAGGTTTCTCAAGATTGTTGTGTTCTTACTTCATTAAATGTTTTGGTACGTTAGCAATCATAAATAGTCAAGTTACTGACCATTATGAAATTGTTTTTCCCATTCAAAAATGCTCTTTGTTCACCAGAATGCATTTTCGGCATCTTTCTGAACGTTTTTTCATTCAAGGAAAGTTCTACATATCGATTAATGTTTAATTTAAAATTAAATTATATCAAAGCTTTAAAAAATACTATCCTGATTAGTATACTAGTCAATCATATAAATTTATAGAATTATCAACTCATCATTCTATTATTTTGCTCTTAAATAATTTTAACGGGAAAAACAAAAATGTATTGTTGTGGATTCCTGATTATTTAAGTTAATTTTTGGGCAACATTATCAACAGTAAATGTATGATAATTATCTACAATAGTTCATGTATAATATATTTTATCTATATGCTTTTAATATAACAATTTCCATGAAAAAGTTAAACATCCCATCTTGAATTGTTACACGATCATACTTATATAATACATATTTTTAAAATATATACCAACCAAACCTTTCTTCTCCTTAATTCCTCCTTTCTCCCCGCAAAACCTGAAATATTTTTATTTTATTTTTTTTTATACGTTGAGATTGTTGAAGTGGTCGCACCTACGTCTCACTTCTCCTTCTCCATCGCCCTTGACCCCGACCGTGCCGAGTTTCTCCATGGCACGTGCAAAATCTTCAAAGAATGCTTTCTCGTTAGTTGCGTAAAGGTCAACGAACGGTTTCGTGCTATTGTCTTTAATAAGGATGTGGTCGGAAGCTAATAGCCCTAGCCCTCGTTTTAGGTTCTTGAAGTACATGTTGTCGAATTTCCCTGGAGTCATCACGTCGTTAAACGCCGCAATTGTGTCGTCCACGGTGTGGTTTTTGCAAAGTTCTTTTAGAGCGGTTGCGAATCGCGGGTTGATTTCTGGATCAGCTTTTGATCCGTATAGCCGGTCAGAAAACTCTTTGCAGTGTGAGAATCCGATGGTGTGAGCTCCGCTTAATGCTACCATCTCGCGTAGACTGAACCCGTTTTTCTTGAATATCCCGTGGATGTCGTGGACAGTCTGGTTCACCATCGGGACGTTTCCTCGGACTTTATGAGCTTTGGATTCGAGTCCATCTTTACGACCAAGTTTTACGTCAAAGTAAGGTCCTCCTACCATCGTGACAAGGTCACGCGTAGCCTGTGCCAAAATGTCTGCGCAAGACACCACACCAGGGCAAGCCAACTCAAGAGCTGTCTTGATGCGAGTAACAATGTCGAAAGCGTCTCCCGGGAGTGAGTCATTGAGATCATCATCACGTTCCGCTTTGTTAAATGAGTTGGTCGCTATCAAGACGGAACCATCACAACCTTCAAGGAAACAATCGTGGAAGAAGAGACGGAGAGTCCCAGCCGCGGTTGTCGGTTGTTGAACTTGTTTGGATGTAACGGTTTCACGTACAATTTTGTTAAAATCGGGACATGTTTTTTGGTAATAGTCTGTCCTTAATATAGCTACACCAGCCGATACGGCTGGTGCAACAAGGACAAGGGAAACGAGCAGAACGAAGGGATTAAGACCGCGCATATTTGATACCGGATAACGAAAACTAAGAATCGAAATTAAGAGAGGTGTCTACGAGGTAGACTTCTCTACGATCGATTGTCGTCGAAAGCAATTAGAGACGAAGAAGGAGAAATGGTTTTGCGACTATTTCATGGCTTAGGAGGTTACTAAGAAGAGGCTACATAAAGGATGGATTTCATTTACTTATATGTACGTGTGGTTGTTTTTAGTTTTTTTTCCTTTTCTATTTTTGTAATTTATCTATTTTTTGTATGGTTTTGGTTGCTCTGAATTTGTTTCTTAACTTGTTTTGGTATATATTTAATTATTGGCGCAAAAAAAAAGGAATATAGGAAAAGTCTGGGTATTAGTTATATACAAAACTTCAACTCCGAACTTGTAAATTTGGTTATATAAAATTGTATACGTTCGATAAATGTGGTAAACATGATCATTGGTTATTAGAATATAATACGTGATAAAAAAATTTGGTCCCTGCTCTGAGTAATCTTATTATAACCTCTTAGTATTA